TTGAGTTAAATAAAACAATTCAATCCTCTCCTTTAAATCATGAATTATATTTCTATTTTCTCTGGTGACTCCTGCCTATGTTTTCCCTGCTGAGCTGTGGACACAGAGCAGCTGGCAGAAGATCTGGGAGCTAATATACATGTAGTCCCAAGGATCAGTCTACTCCTAAACTGAGTGCCTTCAAACAAGCAAATCTGCTTCTAGGTAGCATTGCAAGTAGCCCGGTAACAATAGTCCACCTTGAGGGTTTCACAAATGTCACTAGAGATACTTTGAATGAATGGGCTGCTAAGGTTTTCCCCCACAAGGCATAGGGAACAAGAAACTGAGATATGAGCCCAAAATTTGTGCAAAGCTGAAAAAAGAAAAGTCTTATCTAAGAAAAATTCACTATATACTATCTCCTGTCATTTGCTTTTAGCAAGGATAAGATGTCTTTCCTGTATGAATTTAACACTTCATGTGAAGTGTTAAAGCAATCTAGTTTTCAGGGGAAATAATTTAATCAATTCTATATTGTACTCAATCTTTCTTCTGGCAGAACTTGATTTTTTTTAAAATAGCAGAGCAGAAAGAAATCCAATAGTGTATCTTCTTTAACCAAATGGTGATATATAGAGTATGGGAAAGGATCTTTAAGACAGGGCTGAATTTTGATAGGGGAGAACTGAACTCCAAAAGAATTTGGATCCAAAAATTAGGCTCATTAAGTATCTAAGTCTAAAGTATTAAGCTTCATCACATGTTGATGCTATTATGGGACCTTCATATGTTCTCTTGAGAGTGATGTTAATAAAATTTGTTGCTGTGATTATGGTAATCTATATTGAGATATAGGAGAGTCAATTTGGTGTTGTAATTAAGGCATCAGGCTAGAAATTGGTAGTCTGTGAATTCTAGTCCCGCCTTAGGCACAAAACCAGCTGAGTGACCCTGAGTTAGTCACTTTTTCTCAGCCTTTTTAAGGAGGCAATGGCAAACCAATTCTGAAAAAGCTTGCCATCAAAATTACAGAGACTTTTTCAAGCAATCTCCAAGAACTGTACATGATTGAGAAGAAGGAAAAAATACTGAAACATTGCATAACCCTTTTACACTGTGAGAAATTAAAACGGCAGTTGCAAGCTGGCCATTGTAATACTGAAGCAATAATTGCTGTCTGCTCCTACCAATGCTCCTGGGAAGGGGCATTAATATAAAAGGAAGCCTGCCAGAAAGTACTATGTCCTTATATCTCCCATATCTGGCACTATCTTTGCACTGGACAATCTTGAATATTCTTTATGAGTTGGTTGGCTGGCTGGCTGGCTGGAATAAGAACAGAATTCTACCGACCTCGGAAGGATGGAAGGCTAAGTCAACGTTGAGTTGCATCAGGATCGAACTCCAGGCTGTGGGCAGAGTTTGCCTGCAATACTGCATTCTAACCACTGTGCCACCAGGGCTCATAAAAGAAACCCAGTGTGGTTTCTTTCTAGATTATATAAATATTTCATCTTTATTTTTTTTTGTGATGGGCTAAGATTTTTAATTAAAACTAAGATTATATGTGCTTAGGTATATAACTTTAGGCCCACCTCTCCCCATTTCAGTGCTTCAGTAAATAGTGGTGAAGCAAATTATTTACTTGTTCTTTCTTCTTCTAAAGTTTAGTCTATTCTTGGCAGCTTTACGATGGTAGATTGCAACTTGCTAAGGACAAAGTTCTCAAGCTTGAAGGTGACAGGAAAGAGAAGGGAGGAATATTATGCCATGTTGGTAGATCTCTTCTGTTCATTATGCCCTTCTAGTACCATATCTCTTCTATTGGATGACCTGGACTCTTTGGAAGAAGGCCACTATATCTGCATCCTTTAAGGTGTCAAGTTAGAACATTTGAAGACATTTGTAATTCTCATAGGACGGGCTGGCTGTGTGTAGATGGAATAATGTGATTAATGGGTTTCATATTCTTGTAGTTTGCAATTTTCAAAATTACTTTTCAAGTGGAATTTTTCTCTCATCTATATTGAAACTCTGGCTGGGCATGTTTTCTGTGACCGTCCACAAATGCAAATTTGAATTAGAGTTAAAAAGAATGTGCCTAATATGTAAAATTTAGATAAGGATCTATGGATCCATTTTTCACCTACAGTAGAAATGGATACAATTAAAAAATGGTTATGTGTGTAGCGCATATTAAAGGACAGTGTTGTCTCACTGATTGAAAGGTCGCTCCAAGTGATTTGAAGTACAGATAGTCCTCGACTTACAACAGTTCATTTAGTGACCATTCGAAACTACATTGGCCATGAAAAAGTGACTTATGTTTATACACTTATGACCATTGCAACATCCCCATAGTCATATGATCAAAATTCAGATGGTTGGCAACTGATTCATATTTATGACTGTTCTGACAAGCAAAGTCCAGGAGGAAGCAAGATTCACTTAATAACCATCTTACTAATTTGACAACTGTAGATTGTAAAATGGAGCAATATTTACTTAATAATGGTCTCATTTAGCAACAGAAATTCTGGGCTCATTGTGGTCATGAGTTGAGAACTACCCATGATTGCTAGTTTAAAACTATATTAAATGTATACTCCAGCTTTCAGCTTATATAAAAACACTCAAGATGTTTTGCAAAATAAAGAATGTAAAATGCCAACACAGAGATCAATATGATTAAAATAAAAAATCGGAATGATTACAGATAAATTAACAGTTAACAGCTTGTTGAAGAGACGTAGTTTTTGCCAAGTTTGTATTTACTGGAAGAATAGGAGCCAAATGTGTATCGCTGTGGAAGGCCTACCATAGCCTGAGAGCCAAACAGAAGGAGACTTTCTCCTAAAACCATATGGTCCAGTTTCAGGCAGTGGAAGAAATNCATGGTTCGAATCCCAGTAAGGGTATGGCTAGCTGATGAGATATATTTATCACTATAGATATATAGTGCTTCAGAAGATCCAATCTATAATTCTGCCTGAGATTTATTAGCAGAGCTCATCATATTTTTTGATAAGTAGTTCAAGGCTTTTTTGTGTTTTGTTTCTTGCTTTAAGACACTCTTTTCTGTGGCATATTTAATGTCTTTCACCCACTAGCAGCTTATAAGATCTTCTAGAGACCCTCTTTTATTTATTTATTCATATTTATTAATTAGATTTTTAAAAATCCCACCTTTACTACTTGTATAATTAACTCAAGTTGGTGAACATACTCAATACTCCTCCTTCCTCCTATTTTCCCCATAGCAGCAACCCTGTGAGAGGCTGGCTGAGAGAGATTGACTGGCCCAAAATCACCCAGTCGGCTTTCATGCCAATGGCAGGACTAGAGCTCACAGTCTCTTGATTTCGAGACTGGTACCTCCATCACTATAACAAACTGGTGACTATGTCTATCGTGGTGTGAAACCAACAGTGACAAGTATTGCTGGCTGGTGGTTTGAAAGAGATGTAGGTCATCTGCTTTGACTTTAATAAATTTGCTTTAATCATCCATCCCTCCATCCACAAGCAAGCAAGCAAACAAAAAAACAACCCCAAGGCAGTGCTTCCTACAGTAGGTTTTGTAACTATAGAAATAAAAAATTGAAAAGCTAAATCACTTTATGATGAGCAGTTCTCTGCAATCTATAGCCACTGGTAATGAACTATTGTGTGGAAGGTCCTTAAATTTCTAATTTTCCAAAATTCCTAATTTTGGAAAATATAATTGAGCATTTGCTGGCTTCAAGTTGAGGTAAATAGTGGCCTGAAAGCCAAATCTGACCAGCCAATTTCCTAAATATTGTCTTTCTCCTAAGAACATTTCAGATGAATGATCATCATATGGGAACAGTATGCCTTTGTAAAACAGAGAGAAGTCAGGATTTGTAAATCTTAAGTTTCAAACATGAACATCTCAACTTGGATCTGATAGAATAGAATAGAATAAACAGAGTTGGAAGGGACCTTGGAAGTCTTCAAGTCCAACCCCTGCTCAGGCAGAGGGAACCCTATATATTTCAGACAAATGGTTGTCCAACTTCTTCTTAAAATCTTCCAGTGTTGGAGCATTCACAACTTCTGGAGGCAGATCTAATTTAAGAAGTAGGAGGAGTTCTTCATTTAACAAACTGTAATGTACTCATTTGCTCATTTATATTTAAGGAGGCCTTATAGGACACAGAGTTAGCCCCATTGTCTTTCCTCATACCCATATTTCTTCAGATAATCGCCTGGATAACAGTGTGCATGACTTTTTCCACATCTGAGTTCCTTCAGGCAGAAATCTCTTCTCAACATCTGCCTTCTTTTCTCACATAGACATTGCTTCACAAGGATTCAGATCATTGCTCCTTTTTCTGGACACATCAGTACATTTTCCTTGACAATATTGCAGATGTGGTGTGTTATTATTTTCTTCTGGGATGCTTTTTGTTTTTCTACTGGATTCTAAGCCTTCTGTGGTGGTCACTTCTGCAAATCCTATTCCTTAATTTCCCAGCCAAACTAAGATTAGTTAGGTATGCCTGGATAGTTGGGATTATTTTCTTCTTCCCTATCACTCCAATCATCTCTGTCATTCTGCAAAAATGAAAAAAGTTATTGCAAAGGTATTGTGTAATAGATATAGAGGAAAGTAATTTTGCTTGAGTGCTTCATGTATGCCTGTTCACTGAATTTTGCTAATGCTTTCAGTTTTCAAAATGAAGATTATATGATAAAACCAGCCTACAACTTTATTCAGCAGTTATGTTAAAAATATTAACATTCTAGAATGTCAGAGTCATAATTTAATCTTTCCATTTTGTTGCTTGATTCTTGTAGAAGTATTCTGATGTAATGCACCGATTATGAATTCCCTGACCTTTATCTGTTCTCTGCTGCCTCACCCCCCCACCCCCACCCGGGAGCATTGTGACATCTTGGGTGTTAAGGATAGTTTTGAGTGGATGATTACCAAGCGGTATACCAGCTACATAAAATAATCATGGCATTTCATTAGAAGGAAATGCAGGTATCACGATGGGTAAATTAATACAACCCCGGATTAATGTAAAGATGCCTGCAGTTTCTTCTTCTTTTTCCTCTGTGTATGGTTTTATGGTAAAAATAGATTGGTCACTCGGTATGAAAACTCTTGAAATATTCTCTGTGCAGTTCAGAATAAGGAGAATTTGGACCTATTTGATCAAATAGCTGGGGATAAAAAATGAAAGATTAGATTCCGTTCCTTAAATGGCATTCCCGTTTAAGATTCCTTTTGGAATGCCATTAGAATCCATTTTTTTCTTCTAAAGTTTTTAATTTGTTTTACTAAAAATTCAGTTCAATGAATGGAAACGAATATGGTTGAATAACCCATCTGTTCCTTTCCTCTATTAGCCCAAGCAACAATGGAGGCAGAAGGAAAAGAAAATATTAAGCTTTTATAACTTCTTTGAACAAGAAACATTCAAGTAATCCCCACACAAAATAAAACTGAAAGTGCGGGGAAAGGAAAGAGGGTAACAGACAGAAAAGTCCTTCCCTTATAGGCCAGGATCCACTTTTCTATCATACCAGCAAGGTATATGGTGTTAAAAGCAAACTTTCATAGTGGGATATGTGACAGCATACACATGAAAACAGTGTGAACATTTTTTGCTGATTTGGGACTGAGTAGAACTGTTTGATTAAAATATTTTATTTGAAAACTTTACATAACACACAGTTGTCCATTGGGAACCGTTCAGAAAGAAGAGATGTTACCACTTATTCTTTGACTTGCCTTAATGATTTAATTTTATTTCTTTTTAGTTACTTGATTTAGGTGTTGCCTACTACAGAATGACTCTGGATAGCTCACATTGTGATAGAGAGAATAAAATGCAACTCAAGTCAAAAAGAGAAAACTAACAAAAGCATTATTTATGTATCGTATGGCACATTCATATCACACGTCAATAAAAACACAAGAGATAAAAATACAAAACACGAAGCATAAAATCTAAAATATTATAAACATATGTCTAGATTACAGATATAATATTTTGCTTTATTTGTCACAGCCAGGAAATCAACAAAGTTTCCATTGTAGGCCCTCTTCTGGCAGGCTGACACTATATGTTTTCCGACCCTACAGTCACAATTTGGTTGATGGCATTTTGCCCCATTTATAGAGGGCATCTATATATCTACTATGCCCAATGTGAATTCAGTTCAGCATTGTCCATATTGCACAGGGCTGGCCAAATCCAGGTGGTTTTTCCAAGATAAATGGCAAACTTCGACAAGAACAGCTGAAGATTATTGATAAGTCCCAGCTGCCAATATTGAGTGACGTAGCCTGCCTGTAGTGAAACAAGTTGAGATGTAGACATCCAGCTACTTTTACTGCTAAAGTACTTTTTAACATACACAATATGTATATATGGAAATAACATTGGATAGAAAATTGCCCTCCAACAAAGATAGATAAGATAAGGATAAGACTAAGATGGCAAATCTAGCTGAAAACACAAGAAACTTATATCAGCAAAACTCATAAGGGCTCCAAGCATTTTAACTCAGTGTCTAGGATGATAGCCAGGTTTTAAAGACTCTCTGGAATGCTATCAGAGTGGGAGTTACCCATATCTGATAGGGAACTTTATTCCAGAGGACAGGTGCTATGACAGAGAATGCCCACACCTTTTGGATTCTCAAAAATTGCTTGATTGAAAGGACCTGAATTGTGCCAACACTGTTGGCTACTCCTGGCTGGGCAGATATAACAAGAGATAGGTGGTCTTTCATGTAACCAGGCCTCATGTCAAGAAGAATTTAATAATCAGCACTTCGTATAGTACCCAGAAGTAAACCAATAGCTACTATAGCTTGCAGAACATGCTCATTGTTGTCCATGCCGCTGCATTTTGATCTGTTGAAGCTTCTGAATGTTCTTCAAGGTTAGCCCCATGTAGAATGCACTAGAGTATCTGTATTGTAAGGTAATCAGAGAATGAATGACTGTCTGAAGAGCCTCCCTATCCAGGAAAGGGCATAACTGGCATATTAGATACAGCTATGCTAAGTTCTTCTTGACCATAGCTACCACCTGTCATCAAGCAGGAGCTATGAGTTCAAATAAGCTGCCTCCTCTAGTGTTATCAACTGCAAACTGATCATTTTTTCAACAATGTTCCCTAAAAAGGGAAGGTTGGAAAAAGGATGATAATTATTGAAGACTGTTGGTCCAAGAATGGCCTCTTGAGAAGGGAGCATACCTCTGCTGTAATGACGTTATTTGAAAGACTTGTTGGTATTCTGAGAAATTTGCATGGATGTTCCTAAAATTTGGATGATTAAAGCCAAACAGCCCTGAAACCTACAAATCCCATCTTTGGGGAAAAAACAATGCTACAAAATGCTTTTAAGTCTTGATTCTTGAATTTCCAGCAGTTGTTTCCTTTTTATTAGTTTTAGAAACCATTGAGCAAAGCCATTTTTCATTTATGGGCACTTCTCTTGTTCCAGGCTTTGTCATCCATGGAACAGTTTCGGAACCTGGATCGTGACATTGAAGGATCTGCCAAGCGCTGGAAGAAGTTTGTGGAGTCTGAATGCCCTGAAAAGGAGAGGTTCCCTCAGGAGTGGAAGAATAAGTCAGCTTTACAGCATCTGTGTATGATGAGAGCACTACGACCTGACCGTATGACTTATGCTGTCCTGTGAGTTCATAAAGTACTGAGCAATGACTTAGGCAATAGAGTGAAACTCTAAGCTTCTGATGCTAAGTGTCCAAGAAATGCCAGATGAGTCATATCTCTTGTCCTTCTAGAATCCCATTTCTGGCTTACTGTGAATCATTTTTAATTCTGCACTGTGATTTCCTCCTCATTTTCCACTTAATCAGAATAGACGTAATGATGTCCATTTACTTGGTACTATTTTCAGCTTTGATTGTCTGAATAGGATGCGGATAGCACACAATTTATTGTCATGGTCTAGTCTGTTTCCTTTCTTCCACCACAAATAACACTGGGTAGTTTTCTAATTAAAAAAACAAAATTTCCAACATTTCAAAAGCTAAAAATTAAATAATTATTTTTTTAAAAGCCAGCCAGAGGGATTTTATATAGAAATGTTAAACATGAAAGATTTCAAACCACTTTTGAATGTCAGATTAAATGTTTATTTTCCACCTAAAAGGAATATTTCTAAATAATGTGGGGAAATGGGGTCTCTTTAGTTATATTCTCTCAAAATGACTGGTTTATATAGAAAATTTATTTCTGTGTTTCCAGGTAACGCAGACCATAAGAGTTTGCTCAAGGTTTGTGAGCCAAATTTTAGCTTGCTTTAGGTCTTGACTAGTGGAAGGCACAATGAAGTTTTGATTTATTCTAGTAAGGATATTTTCTATTGACATTAGTTTTGTGTTACTGATACTTGATGATAATAATTGAATTATCTTCATTATGACTGTCTTTGAAAGTATCTTTTACTGCTGGAAAATTATGCTGTGTTTCTCTAATGCCCAATTTCCATTTGATTTTTTAAAAAAATACATGCAAGTAATTTTTCCCTGCACAGTAAAAATTTGGCTAGCTTTATCCAGCAGCATCCCAACTTGGTGATCTTATAAATTTGGTCTATGGTTTTAGGGTTTGAATACTTTATTGAGAATTCTTGGCTTTATATCTTTGGAAAAGCAAAAACAGAAAACTGAAAATGTGTACTTTCAAGCCAGTGTTAATTCCTGGCAACTGCCTGGTCAACTCCCTCCAATTTTCTTGGCAATATTTTTAGAAGTGGCTTACCGCTTTGCTCTTTCTAGAGCTGAGAGTGACTGGCCCAAAGTCAGCCTGATTTAAGCCTAGGATTAGACTAAAATCTATAGTCACCTGTTTTCCAGCCTGGTGTATTAACCACTACATCAAGAGGAAAACAACCATGCACAACAGAAACACCTGAACAGATATTTCTTCAACTACTTTTAGAATAAAGGAACCTAGCAATATATTTTATTCTTAAAAACCTTTTAGTCAGAAAAGAGCCCTGCTCATAAGAGAAAATACTGTTTATAATGCAACAGTTATGATATAGACCAGTGTTTCTGAACCTTGGCCACTTTAAGAGGAGTGAACTTCAACTCCCAGAATTCCTTAGCCAATTGGCTGGGGAATTCTGGGAGTTGAAGTCCACCCCTCTTAAAGTGGCCAAGGTTCAGAAAGACTGATATAGACATAGAATGCTTTTAGGAAATGGAGCAGTGGCTAAATGGCTGAAATCTAGAAGAGGAAGCATCCATCTTACGGCATCCTTGCAGACTCTACTTGTAGGAGAAGAATCTCCTACAAGTGACAAAATTCCAAACTTTTTGCCTAATGGATTATAAATGCTACAGAAATGCTCCCAATAAAATATACATAAGCCTGACATTTTGCTAACATGAGCCTCTCTTCAACCATTTAATTAAATCATAACAATTACTTCAAAGTTATTCCCCTCCCTCTCCCCATGTTGATACCTAGTGTTTTGCATTTTGTAAGGTTTTTGAATTGTCCCGGGGGCATTTCATGCAAGTCAAGCATCAGTTTTTTTTAAAAAAAAGTGGCATGTCAGTTTAAACAATCGTAATCATTACTGGACTATTCTGTGCAATCTTCCTTGCACTCTCCTGGCTTATTGCAAAATAAAACTGCTTTTATTGAAAGGTTTCCTTTATATCTTCTCATTAAACAGTATTGCCTTTCTACAATAATTTCTGTTATTAAAAAGGCCAGCAAGGAAAAGAATAGCTCATCCTGGCATCTTCAAGACAAGCACATTTCTGTGTTCTTGCACATCCGAGGGCAAGACACATACCTTCTATCTCTGAAATGTTAAAAATAAACTCTTCTGGCACAAGCAAGCTCTATAATTTATTGTAACATTTTTGACTGTTATTTCTCTGAGGTTCTGTGAAAAAAATAGGTCTTGTAGCATTATTTATCCCTACAGGAAAAAATATATAAACAAATAAATAAGTAATAATACCAAGAAGCCAGTTGCTGTTGACTGGTTATAAGTTATTTAATAAAACAGGCTTAGAAATATACAGGCAGGCACACAACAATGGTACAAGTGATTTGAGAAAAGCAAAATGTAGTTGTTCCACCAGGATTTCTTTATTGCTTAATATAGTGCTTCCAGCTTTTCCTTCATTACCCAAAACCAATGATCAGAAGGTCCTTATTTAAATGCTCCTGTTGTGATTGGGTAACAGGTTTGTGTGTTGTTACCTGAAGAAAAACCACCTTTACCAATTTTGGTTAATTTCACCAAGTTTGAGAAACAATAGTTTAACAGTTTAGTCATCTGTTGGATATCTGATTTCCGTACTTTTTAGAGTATAAGGCGCACTTCCGCCCCAAAAAAGAGGGTGGAAATGTCAATGTATCATTCCACTAAATGCAGCCATTTTGGGCTTCCTAAAACCCTGCCCTGCATGTCCCGTTTTTGCAAAAACTGGGCCCGTTTTTCACAAAAATGGGACACACAGGGGATTTGGGAGGTCTGCAGAGTGCTTCTGGGAGCTGGGAAGGGCAAAAATGGGGCGTGGGGAGTTCGGGAGGCCAAAAGCGGGCCCATTTTCACAAAAATTGGATCCGCAGAGGGTTTGGGAGGCCTGAAGAGTGCTCCTGGGGGCCAGGGAGAACAAAAACTATTTTATTTCTTGTTTTCCTCTTTGAAATCTTGGTGGGTCTTATAGTCCAAAAAATACAGTATGTCCTCGGACTCAAAAGATTGTAATTTGATTTTCAGCAGCTGCATGATTGTTGTAGAAAACAATCCCATATTCATGAATTAAAGAATCACAAAATTTTGGAAAACAATCATCTAATTCAGCCTTTCTCACTAGGAAGCGGTATCTGATGGTCTGCCCAGACTTTTCTTCAAAATCATTTTGAACACGTCTAATGTAGAGGATTTATCAGTGGGTTCCCAAACTTGACATCTGCATTAAAAAGAGTTTCTATTTCATGTTATTAGCAACATTTTTTAAAGATCACATTGAAACTGTGAATCTGTGCGTTTGGAAAAATGGGAAGCCCAGAACATCTCATGGTCCCAATGTAAAACTTATGGACAGGTTAGGAAGTCACAATATCAACTGAACATGTTGAAACAAATTGACTCCAGACTGGCAAATGAGTAAAGCTGTATACAGTCCTCTCTCCTTACTTATTCCTCCTCTCCTCTTACATATGGAAAATGGATGTAGTTTTAAAGCTGGAGGGAGAAACACCAATAAATTCACCATGCTGATGACATTATTCTGAATGATTAAAATGCAAATGCCATGGAACAATTATAATGAAAGTCAAGAAGCATAGGGAGAAATGAGAATAAAATCAAATATGAAGAACTACAACAAACAGACTTAAAAATGACAACGAAGATATCAAAATAGTGGATTAAGTATTAAAGCACTGTAGTCAAGAAATACAATGCAGACCAGCACAATGGTAGAATAGCAATGGAGGAAAAGATATTCATTTTCGATAGGATGCTTTAGGGAAACGAAAGCTGGACTTTAAAGAATAGAACAGAAAGACTGTCAATGGTTTGGAACTTTGGTATTGGAGAAGATCCCATGGATAGAATGTGGTTTTCTAGCAATGCTGCTTAGGAAGGAAGTGGACCTAGGAAGATGCATTTATTGGTATTCCTTTTTAACATATTTTTTAAAAAATATTACCTGTATATACGAGTTGATTCTTGATAAAAGTTAGATACCAATAGCTGTCTTTTTCTAAATCATGACTAAGAATAATAATGGTATATTGCGTATCAGACTAGATATCAAATATTTTGCAATATAAGCTTGTTCTGTACCATTTCCTGACTTAGTCTCTGATGTTTTCCATACCATTTTAGTAATAGCAATAGCACTTAGTCTTATAAACCGTTTCACAGTGCTTTACAGCCCTCTCTAAATGGTTTACAGAGTCAGCCTATTGCCCCCAACAATCTGAGTCCTCATTTTACCGACCTCAGAAGAATGGAAGGCTGAGTCAACCTTGAGCATGATGGGATTTGAACTGCTAAATTGCAGGCAGCCAGCAGTCAGCAGAAGTAGCTGCAGTACTGCACTCTCACCACTGCACCACTATGGCTCTTAAAGTTTAAATATTTTGCATTCAACACATCTAAAGTTTTAATAGTGTTAATAATTTTGGTAGTTTGTAGCAATAAGCAATAACAATATTGGTGCCAGAGTATTGGCAGCATTAAGACCTCTTATTAAAACCATAAATATTTCTTGTTTAAAATGCATTTCCATTGTTTTCATAAGATGGATAAAGTAGATCTTATTGCAATCTTGAACTTTCTGGAAATCTAACCTTTCTCAAGGGCAGAGCATATAATTGGTCAAAGCAATGCTTAAGAAAAGAAGCCATTCACTTTTCTCTTTGGGACCTCAAGTCAAAATTCTCTTTCAGTATTGCCAGTTGGCATATTAGGTGAATAAGCTGGCAGTTCTTCCACATCTGACTTTTTTTCCCCTGGTATTGGATTTGGGAGGCAGAGATATTGAGTCCTCAGTCTAGGATAAGTCATACCTTATAGTAATTTGTTTCCTTAATAAAAACATTGTAATTGCCACACATAATTCTTTACCAATCTATTTCAACAGGGATTTTGTGGAAGAAAAGCTTGGGAGCAAATACGTGGTAGGACGATCTCTGGATTTTGCAACATCCTATGAGGAATCAGGACCTGCAACCCCCGTGTTCTTTATTCTCTCACCTGGAGTGGATCCCTTGAAAGATGTAGAGAAACATGGTAAATACAGTGCATCAGAACCATATGACAACTACATTGCTTTATAAAAACTTGCTTTATAAAAAAAATCCCCTTTCTTTGTTGGTTCCAGGGAGAGAGATATTTTTAATTTAGCACACTGCCATAAAAGCCACCATCTTATACTTTATTTACACCTCTGTTTTTTTGTCCTTTCCACTCAAACACCTGGCACAGCAGTCCCATTTTCACATCTCTCCGCTGACTGTTGAATTGTGTCTAGCAGCACTAAACAGAGCCTGCTGCAATCTCTGCTTTGATTAGGTTTGAGAAGACCACTGATGGACGGCCTTTGGAGCATTGGACAAAAGGCAGATGGACACTTTCTGCTTGGCTTCCAGTCCCAGCCTACTGCAAACACATCAGCACCAGTATCTTCCAGTTTTGCTCCAAAACTTCTGTTTTCTGACCCAAGCTCTCTTAAGCCCTTTAAGTTAATAGTTCCTGTGGAGGCTGGTGCCTTTGGCTCCGTGCTTGTGTGAGCAAAACGTGATTGCAGCTGCCATTTTTTCTATAAATATAGGTGGGGGTGTGTGGAATATTGACTTTGTTGCTTTAAACGGATTGGTTGGCTGTCTTGTCACATCTTGATTGGTTGATGGAATTGATGTTTGGTGAGGGTGATCGGTGATGGTGTCCTCTGTTGTTTTGGGTCCTGTGTCGGTTTTTGTGGCTGGGACTCATTTATTGACTAGGGCTAGTTTCCAGGTGTTTGGTAGGCGGGAGGTATCATCACGTTTATTCATGTTGTGGGGATGTTTCGCTATTTCAATAGCTTCCATAATTACACACACACACACACACACACACACACACACACAGACAGACAGACACACACACACATACACATAGACTTTTTTTCACCCCTTCCCTTCCTACCCCACCCAGCCCATCACCTTCCTACATTATCTTACAAAGGAATTCAAGAGCAAAAGAATTTCCCATTTCTTCTTCCTTTAATTACTGTAGCATCAGAGCAACAATTGCACAGTAATCAGAGAAAAAAAGTAAAAAAAAAATGTCTCTGTAGTATAAAGGAGATACTGTGGAAATTGGGATGTGAAGGCATCCATGTGCAAATATCTGGGAAAACAAAGGAAAGGCAAAGAGATTTGTGAGGATGGAATAGTCCTTAAAGACAGGCACTGTTAGGAAAGACTACCTGGGAGTCATCTATTCAGGCCCCATTGCCAGCTCACAGCAATTTGGACTGCAATTACCGAAGTTGCCTTAAGAAACAGCCAGGAGCACCATGGGAGATAATCATTTTAGGATGTAGTTCAATATTGTTCCCAAACACCATCTCAATCTATGAAGATATAAAGTACTATTTGCAGCCGTGCACTTGGGGAATTAAACAGCAGTTTTGTCCATGAGGTTTAGTTCTGGGATTTTAGACAGGAAGAGAAATGGGGGGAGGATTAACACCAGGGGTGGGTTCCTGCCAGTTCTAACCTCTTCTATAGAAGAGGTTCCACAAATCTACAGTGCCATTTAGAACCGGTTCCAGCTCACTCCCCCCGCCCGTCTGTACATCATCAAGATGAAGTGCGAGAGGAGGAATTCTGGGAATTGAAGTCCACAAGTCTTAAAGCTATCAAGTTTGAACACCCCTGGGTTTTTTTCCCTAAAGGGTTAGGGGTGCAATGGTCTTGTAACTTGACAGCTTTAAGACTTGCACTTCAACTCCCAGAATTCCTCCTCTCGCTTTTCACCTTGATGATGTGCGGATGGGCGGGGGGGGGGGGGGGGG